CTGAGGAAGGAGGGCCCAGCTGGAGCGGGAGTGAGCCAGAGCCTGCTGGGAGACCCCAGGCTCATCCCTGGCTGGCTCATTGAGACAGGAATGGGTGGAGGCTGTGTGGTAGACAGCTTTGGCACCGCCCTTGCTGGACCAGGAGAGGCCAGCCTCGAGAGAGGGCAGGGATTCCTCCGTGGGCATTGGGTGGATGCGCACCTGGGAAGGTCTGGGGGACCTGGGGCAGTCAGTCCTCGGGGCTACGCTTTGGGGATAGAGGCAGGAGGGCCCACACAATGCCTTGGAGAGGAGTACTGGCCCAAGTCAAGGACTGGAGAGTCAGGAGCCCTGGAGATCGCCGGGGACCTCCACCCAGCAGCACGCGCAAGCTCCCAGCTGTTCTCAGAGATCCCAGGCCCTTCCTGCGGCAGGCTTGGTCCGGGCAAGTCCTGCAGCTCCTTGGCGTTCCTCAAAGCCCACTCCTGGGGAGGCCCCTTCCTGGGCACACCTCCCTCAGACACCCTGCATGCCAGAACGCCCACAGGGAGCAGGGTCCGAGGGAGCCGAGGCAGCAGCCCCGGGCGGTCACCTGTGGAGGCTTCACAAAGTCGGCCGCGTCCCACAGGCGGTTCCCGAGCTCCTTGATTTGTGTCACGGAGACCCCCTTGAGTTTGGTGATGACTGAGACCTGGGGGTCCAGGTCCCGCTCCTGGTAGCCTTTCTTGGCCACGAGGGCCCACCTGGCCAGGAGGAGATGGCCGATGGGGTATGTGCAGGATGCCACCCACCTGCCCAGTGGGCACATCCTCCCCTGTCCCCTACCTAGCTTTCTTGCAGAGCCCTGTCCCAGAGTCCTGGGCCAAGGCTGAGATGCCCCCCTCCCTACAGACACCTCACCTCTGCTAGACCTAGCTCCCTCCCAAAATTAGAAGGGGGGTACTAGCTAGAACTAGCCTTCCCCCCACCCACCCACCTTGCCCTCTCCCTCCTTCCTCTCTCTTCTGTCCTGACCCTCCTGCCCTCACACGTGTTCGAGACTGCCCTGTGGCCCCTCCAGGATGCCTCTGTGGTTAGGATTTGGGCAGGTCCTGTTTTGGCTCCAGAGCCCCACATGGGGCTGGGGCAAGGCTCTTGCAAGAGTAAGCTCAGTTCGTCTATTCCTTCATCCCACCAACCTCTGGACAGAGAGAACCCCCTCCTCTAGCCTGCCCCCACTCTGTCCCTGCCTGCTCCTGCCCAGCCTAGCCCCCCGAAGAGTCCAACCCTCCACCTTCCTGGCGAACAGGCCCAATCGCCCCAACGTCTTACCCCACCACGTAAACCGCGACCCCCAGCTGCAGCAGCCTCTGCAAGACGCCCACCCGCCAGTTCCTGGTCATCACATACTTCTGGGTCTTGTAATCCAGAAGCCCCCAGCCAGCCAAGGCCCCAAGCACACCCATGCTGGTGGCTCCTGCTGCCTGCCGGGATGCGTGAGTCAGCAAGACAGCTGCAGTCACAGTCGTGGGGCATCTAAGCCAGGCCGGGCCAGCAGCTATTAAAGGGACACATCCATCCTCTGTCCTTAACTCACAGCTGCCCAGCCCCCCATCCTCTGCAGAGCCCAGAGCGCCTGAGAGCAAGCCTGTCCCCCGGCGCAGGAGGCCTGGTTCCTGGGCTGGCTTCCTGAGGTTGGGGAAGGGCACCGGGGTTTGCACGCACTGCTGGCAGCAGAAAGAAGTGACCTTGAGCGCGGACACTGGCCTTCTCTGCAGTGGAACACGCCGAGAGCACAGGGGAGAGGATGTTCCTTTAGGAGCAGGGATGATGACTGGCGGGCCATGGAAGGTTCTGGAGGGAGAGCTGGCTCTGGGAAGTAGCCCTCGGGGGCCCAGTCCTGGCGAGCAGGGCTCCGGGCAGAGTGAGCCAGCCAGTGGCTGCGTCTGCAGCCACCAACAATACTGGTTGCCCCGGCGACGCTTCCCGCAGAGCAGGCAGAGGCCCTCGGACACAGGGCCTTATCTGTGGGTGCAGCCCGACCCAGCGCTGGGGGTGGAGGGCAGGGGTCTGGGGAACGAGCTCGGAGGCTGGGGTTCTCTGCGCAATGTCTGCGGAGAACAGAAGTCTGGAGGACGTGGAGGAGAGTCCTAGGCGTCCTACAGGAGTCAGGGATGAAGACATGGATTTGGACTCTGACCTGGAGACAGAAGGTGCCGCTGGGCAGGGTGGGGCCACTCCCAGGGAGGGGAGGGGCACAGGTTGTGCTGACCCCGCAGCAGGGTGCCCTCTCCAACACTCGGAGACACCCCAGGAGCCCACCAGGGAGTGTGATATCAGAATGAGAATAAAATGCAAAAACTCTTAGGATCAGTGCAGATGGGGTGCCCCGGCCTGAAATGAGTGGAGAGCTGGATTGGCCCAGCTGTCTTACTGCCAACGAGTGGATTCTGACTCACAGTGACCCAAGAGGGCAGGGCAGAACTGCCCCTGGGGGGTTCTGCGAGTGTAGCTGTTTCTGGAAGTAGAAAGTCTCATCTTTCTCCCGCCGAGCAGCTGGTGGGTTTCGAACTGCTGACCTTGCGGTTAGTAGACCAACTTGAAACTGCTACGCCACCAGGGCCTCTCAGGAAAAGCTAAATTAATGCGTGTGGCACTACCAATCTACCACCATCGAGTTCATTCCGACTGGAGCGAACCCCATAGGACAGAGTAGAACTGCTCCCTGGGGTTTGAGATACTGTCCATCTGTCCTGAGACTATGCAGCTATGGGTGGGTTTGAACTGCTGGCCGTTCAGTGAGCAGTCCGATGCACAACCCGTTGAACCACTAGATTTCCTACATAGAGACTATTGTTTGTTTGATTTTTAATCATTTTATTGGGGGCTTGTACAATTCTTACCACAATCCATCCATCCATCCATTGTGTTAAGCACATATATACATGTGTTGCCCTCATCATTCTCAAAACATTTGCCTTCTACTTTAGCCCTTAATATTGGCTGCTCATTGACATACCATTTCACATGTATAATTCAATAACTCAACCATATTGAAAAGGCTTGTCTAATCATCACCACCATCAATTTGAGAAAAATTTTTTTGTCTTTTACTCCTTCTTATTAGCCCCCCCTTCCCCCACCCACCACCCCACCCACCCCACCCACCCCCCAAACCTCCCAGGTCCGACCCACAAGAAACCATTAATCCAGTTAATATCTCTTTTGATGTACCTATCCTGGGTTTTCTAGACAGAAAGGCATTAAAAAAAACCCACCAGCAACAATCATAAAGTAAAACAGAAGGAAAATTCGGTTGAAAACAAACCAGAACATATTTAAAATGGTAAAAAACGCCCAATGAGGTCACAGGGAGATCAAATGATAAGGTGTTACATTTTACATCTGCCCTCACCCACTTCCCATCCACTTGTGCTCTGCCTGATAGCAAGGCGGTTCATGTCCCCGGCCTCTGGTCAGAGGGCCTGCTCCGGGAGGGCTGCTGCTGCTGTTAGAACCAGTGAGTGGATTCTGACTCAGAGTGACCCTGCAGAACTTCCCCCACTGGGTTCTCAAGACTGTACATCTTTTCTCTTTCTTTTTTAAAAAAAACTTTTTATGGCGAATTGAGTGATGATTTACAGATCCGATCAATAGGAGTACAGTCAGCAGTCCAATGCACCTCCCTTTTGTCTCCACTCATCACCTGTCCCACTGCCTGCCTGTGTTTCCTGTTTCCATTTGTCCTTCCCCTGCCTTCTAAACTTTGTCCTTGAATAGATGCTGCCATTTTTCTCATCTTAAATGGTTGATTCCTCTTGGGGATTCCGCCTGTCTCTCTCTAACCTGGAGGCCTGGTTTCTTTGACAATTTTGAGTTCTGGTCCACGTTTTTCTCCCTCCCTATCCAAGGCCTTCAAACGCAGTGATTCTCAGCCTTCCTCGTGCCGCGACCCTTTAATACAGGTCCTCATGTGGTGGTGACCCCCCCCCCCACAACCATAAAGTTATTTTCATTGCTACTTCATCACTGTCATTTTGCTATTATGATGACTTGTGCTACCTCTGTGAAAGGGTCATTCGGGTCTTGACCCACAGGTTGAGAACCCCTGTTCTACTGGGATCCTTTTCAGAGCAGTTGGAGGTGGTGGCTGGGCACCATCTAGCCCCTCTGGTCTCAGGGGGAAAGATTAAATCTTTACAGAAACATACAGACACATCTTTCTCCCTGAAAGCAGCCAGTGGGGCTCGAACTGCAGACTTCTCTTGGTGAGCAGTCGAATGCTCCCACAAGGAATGTCTAAGGCTTCTCATTAGTTCCCCAACCCTGCAAAGGTTCACACCTCATCGGGGCTGCTGTCACCTACTGGCTGTGTGTGACCTGGGGACAGAGTCTGCTTTCTCAGAGCCTTGATGCCCTTGGGACAATATGGAGATACTTTCCCTACTGGTGGGTGCCCTGGTGGCATAGTGGCTGATAACCAAAACAATGGCGGTGATCGACCACCAGCCGGGCCTTGGTAGAAAGATGGGGCAGTCTGTTTGAGTAACGACGCGGGGCCTTGGCCATCCACTGGGGCATTTTGACTCTGCCTGACAGAGGCATTGGGAATTGGAATGGACTCAGTAGTAGAGGTCTGGGTGGTTTCGTGTCCCTACTGAGAAGGAGGCCTGGTGGTGCTGCTGTGAGGTGCTCGGCCATTCATGGGAAGGTCAGTGGTTCAAACCCACCAGCCTCTCCACAGATGAAAGAGGAGGCAGTTTGATTCCATGGCTTTGGAGGCCTATGGGGCACATTGAATCTGTCCTGTAAGAGCTCTAGGAAGTGAGACCACTTGGCTGCGCTGGGTTGATGGGTGTTCCCACGGGCACAGGAGAAACCATGTCTAATGGAGGGGACCCAGAAGGGCTGGTGACGAAAGGCAAACGAGGAGCAAGTGGCTGTGGCCCACACATGTCCTCTCCCTCCTGTCTCCTCACAGGCTCCCGTGGGTGTGAACCCCTTGTCGGGGACCCTTTGCACCCAGGATCTCGAAGAGCCCCCCACATCATTCCTACCTCCTGCTTTCGGCATCAAGGGAGTGGCCCAGAGCTGACCCTTCGGCACCGTGGCCTGGGGCCCCAGGTACCCTTGGAGGGACCCTGGAAACTAGGACCTGAGGGGTAGCAACTTGGGAGGGCCCGTTCCCTCTATAAGGGCTTTACTCCTGGGGTAGTTGGTTAGGGTTGACTGGGAGAGAAAAAAAAAAAGGCTTTACTCCATCCATCTCTGTCCCTGTTATTCCTCTACTGGCTCGATCTATCCACCTCCCATATCTGGAGACATATACGAAGGGTGTCACAGTAGAGGGAGGCACCAGGACCCTTCACTGCACTGGGGAGTGAGGGAGGAGGGTGGAGTGGACTTCCCGGTTGGTGGGAGCAGACCAGGCTGAACTTCAAGAGCAGGAGACTAGCCACGCCCAACTGTGTCTCTTCCTTTGCAGGGGGCTCAGGGTCTCAAGTCTGTCTTGGCTTCCAGTCCCCACATCAAGAAGCTGGACCTTCGGGACAATGGTCTGTGTGCAGCGGGAGTCGCAACCCTGGAAGGGGCCCTGCGCAAAGGCAGCTGCATCTGTGGTAGGTGTTGAGCCAGGGACAAGTGGACAGACCTGAGCCCTCTCTCTCCTGATTAGACTGGGGTCTTCCTACTCACGGTCTGAGTATTAAAGGAAGAGGGGCGGTGTCTCATGACAGAGTGTGCCTTGGGGGAGGAATGATAGCGTTAGATCTTCCGGAGGGGGGGGAACCATTGCTGGACTCTGCTCCTCTCTGGCCTCCCCCACCCTACCCACCCCACACTCCTCCCTCCAGCATGACCCTCCCTGTCGCCCTGTCCACAGGTAGGCTTTGCCCCTGAGGAGCAAGAGGGTGGCCTGGGGTCCATCCTCATCTCAGGAGCTTCAGCACTAACAGCACCCCTTCATTCTTGGGGTCCTGCTGAGGACTGACTGAAGTCCACCATGGGAAGTGCGTGTGCCGGGCCCAGCCACCTGGGTGTTGGGACCTGTCTCAGGAGCTGGACACGGGAGCTTTTCGGGGTGGGTTACATCAGAACCAGGTACTAATCTTCAAGCGGCACACTCCGTCCCCTCACAGGGGGTTGTTCAAAGCAGCCCCAGGTCAGTGATTTGTCTCCTCGGACAGAGCAGGGCATGGGCATGCTGGGGTGGGGCAGATGGAGAACTTGTTTGGGACGCAGCCCGGGGGGCAGAGCCAGAGGAGGTCTTAGACTGGGTGGAGGAGGAGAGGGGCCGAGCAAATGACCAGAGTCCTCATGTCACCAAGGAAGCCTGATTAGAAAGCTTCAGTGGCTGCCTCAGCCCTGAGCTGGACGGAGGTGGAAGGCTGGGGCTTCCTCACCCTCTTCCTCCTGACAGAGGCAGGGGGAGCCCTCTTGGTGTGGTGCTTACACATTGGACTGCCAACCTCAAGGTCAGCAGTTCGAAACCCCCAGCTCCTCTGCAAAAGAAAGATGAGGCTTTCTACTCCCATGAAGAGTTACACTCTCAGAAGCCTGCAGGGGTCGTTCTACCCTGGCCTGCAGGGTGCTCTGAGTCGGCATGGGCTCGAGGGCAGTGCGTTTGGGGTTGGGGTTTGACAGAAGCACGGTCCCCCCTCCTCACAGATGTGGATCTGTCCGAGAACCAGCTGGGAGCAGAGGGGGTCCGGGTCCTGTGCTCTGTCCTGGTGGCACACCCAGCCGTGCGGAAGGTGGTGCTGGCGGGGAACAGGCTGGAGGAGCAGGCAGCCCTGCATCTGGCTGAGCTGCTGCTGCTCCAAACCACCTTGCAGTCCCTGGACCTGAGCTACAACGCGCTGAGTGATGAAGCAGGTACCACCACCCCCCAATCCTCGCCCCAGCCCCCGAGCTTCCTCCAGCAAGGGGTGGGCGGGGCAAACATGACCACAGTGAGCTCCCGCACACCCCCACCGCAGAAGGTATCTACACACGCCTGGCCTGGCGTTCTCAGCTCCCCATTTCCTCCCACTCAGGAACTCCTCATTTCTTTTCAAGGAATACTCCCTGCCATCGAGTCGATGCCGGCTCATAGCGACCCTCCAGGCCAGGGTAGAACGACCCCTGCGGGCTTCCGAGAGTGTAACACTTTACAGGAGTAGAAAGTCTCGTCTCTCTCCCTGGGAGGGGTTGGTGGTTTCGAACTGCTGACCTTGTGGTTAGCAGCCCGGAGCGCCACCAGGGCTCCAAGGACTACAGGCAGAACTAAAAGATACTGTAGACTCACTTCTAGGCCCCCTGTTGCTCATGATAAAGCAAATAGCACAATAAAGCCAGTCACGCATATATATATATTTTTAGTTTCCGGTGGCTATAAAGGCTATATTTATACAACATTGAGCCCTGGTGGCACAGTGGTTACCAGACGGGCTGTGATCTGCAAGGTCAGTGGCCCGAAACCACCAGACACTCCTCAGGAGAAAGATGGCTTTCTATCTACTCCCATTAAGAGTTTCAACGTTGGCAACCCACCGGAGCAGTGCTACCCTGTCCTACAGGGTTGCTGGGTCCGAATCGACTCTGGCAGTGAGTCTGTTCTTCCTTCCTTCCTTCCTTCCTTCCTTCCTTCCTTCCTTCCTTCCTTCCTTCCTTCCTTCCTTCCTTTTCTTGGCTTTGTAGTCTGCTCAGGGAGGCCTGGTGGGTGCACACTGCCAGGTCAGTTATGGGAACCCCTCAGGAGAAACATTAGGGTGCTTGCTCCTGTAAAGATGTATAGTCTCAGAAACACACGGCAGGTCGCTGAGTCGGACTTGACGCGACGTCAGTGGACCTGGTTTGATCTGGGTCGTTAATGAAGTGTGTGATAGCATTGTGGAACGTGTTTGAAACGTTCCAAGAATGACCAAGAGACGGTGCTACATCACAGAGTGCGCGCACGCTGTGGGGGAAATGGCACCAGTTGACTTTCTCAACACAGGTGGTCACAAAACCTCAGGGGGTAAAGACACACGCTCTGCTGGTGTGCCTGGTGACCACTGAGCGGCACTGCCAGGGGGTGCTGGGGGTGGAGTCCACCACCGGGACCCTGCAAGACACAGAACAAAGTCCCTGCTCTCGAGGAACCCACATAAACAAGATAACCCTCAGTCATTTGCTCCCTCTCTCATGCCCCAGAACCTTTGCACGGACTATATGCAGACACCTCAGGCTAACTGTCCCCAAATGTCCCAAGCAACTATCAGAATCCCCTGGGAACCTGGGTTGGAGACCAGGCTCTTGAGGGGAGACCCAGGGACGACCGTAGCACCTAACAGGCTGCATAGAAAAGTGGGGTGGGGGGGGAACAACAGAGTGAATGAACTGAGCAACCAGCCAAGCTCTTTAGTCAGAGCTCCCCACGGCAGTGCTGCCTCTCAGCAGACACCCCAGCACACTGGTCCACCGGGCAGATGGGAGCTGCTGTTCTGTCTCCAGGTGCTTCCAGAGTGGGGGTGTCTGGGTAATCTGCTTTTGGGGAAGACGGTGCAATGACAAAAAGAGGCTAGTCAGCAAACAGCCTCCCGGTCTCTGTCCCTTCTGAGCCTTCCCAGTCAGAAGCAGGAGCCAGGAGGCAGTGGGATGGAAGGGACTGGCCACTGTGTTGGAGGGGGCAGTGTCCTTGGCTGGCCAGGGCTGCCCTCAGACTGACCACGCTGTCTCCCTCCGTGGGCATCTGTGAGTGGAGCCAGCCCACGCTGAGGCATGAAGGAGCTTGGACCTGTCTTCTCGCCTGACAGTGAGGATGCTTGCAGGAGTTTCAGAGACCAGGGGTGGGGGCTGCTTGAGGTGTGGAAATGGGAGCATCTTCTCACCTTCCACTGTTCCAGAAATTGGGAGAAGACTCCCTGCCCCAGAGAGGTCTCAGAAAAGAGGAAAATGCCAGAGTCAGCGCACCTGGGAGAACCAGGTCAGTGCTGCGCTGAGTCCCATTCTCAGGGCAGCACAGCGCGCACGCCACCAGGGAGCTCTCCGAGGTGCTGAGCGCCTCAGCCGGCCCAGCACGTGCGGCCCCAGCAGGCCGCAGGCTTCTTCAGGGCCCCTTCCTCTGGGTTCATTCAAACCAGCCTTACTAGGAGGAGCCCTGGGGGCGCCATTAGATCTCTCATCTCAAGGTTGGTGGTTTGAAACCAGCAGTCTCTCCGTTGGAGGCAGAGGAAGGCGTGTGCTTCTGTAAGACTGACACTCTCAGAAATCTTACGAAGAAGTTTTACTCTGCTTTACGGGATTGCCCTGAGTAGGACTTGACCCCTCGGTGGTGGGATTTGTGTTTGGTTTTTCCTGACTAGACCTGCTCCAGGTACTGGGAGCCTGCAGAGGGGACAGGCAGGATGGACTCTCAAGTAGGCAGGCAGCCTAAGGGGGCTCAGTTCAATGTCAGGTTCTTCCAGGTTCGCTGTCACTCTCATGAGAACAGATTAGAACAGCGGTTCTCAACCTGTGGGTTGCAACCCCTTTGGGGGTAGAACGACCCCTCCACAGGAGTCGCCCGATTCCTAACAGTAGCACAATCACAATGATGAAGTAGCAGTGAAAATAATTGTATGGTTGGGGGGATCAACACAACATGAGGAACTGTATTCAGGGGTCGCAGCATTAGGGAGGTTGAGAACCACTGGGCTAGAAGGAGAAGAAGCTAGTAGCTAAGTGAAGAAGTTCCAAATGGAGGAGAGCCCTGTGGCAGCCCGGTGCTTGAGGGAAGTGGGAACAGGTCAGACAGACCAGGTTTCGACCCACCCCACCCAACTCCTTCTCTTTCTCCATCGCTGCTAAGTGACCATTTCCGTCATTTCCACTTCTTACCTACGGTGTGTAGCCGTGCAGGGAACATTGGAGTATTAGACTGGGTTGACTGGAGATGCAAACCCAGTGACGCTCATCTATGTACAAGAAAGGGCTTTCTATCCACAAGTAATTATATATCAAGAAGGCATTCCAGCCCAGTCCAACTCAAGTCCGTAAGTTGGATGTTAGTCTGTATAGCCTTCTTTGGACTCACAGAGCCACACGGCAGTGACCTAGAATGATAAACCAGAAACGCAGGATTTCAAAGTTGGTGGAAACGTGGCAGGGAGCTGGCGACTCTCAGTGTTGGGCAGCTCAAATGGGACCAGCCCTCAAGACAGGCAGAGTTCCAGCAAGCAAGAAGGCAGAGTAGCAGCGAGCTATGCACAGTCCCTCACTCTTACACAAAAGGCTATGAATTCAAGACGGTCTCATCAGGCTGCCACTTGATTGACAGGTTTGACCCCACCCCTCGCCAGCAGTGTCCAGCTGACATAATCTCTACCTACCACACGGGTGTCTAGGTTTCTGCCTATATTTCTAGGACTCCTTTTCTGACTGAACGAACCGAGTGAAAAAGCTCTCTTTTGGTATTTCCAAAGGGAAGACTCTTGGACCAGCCCTGGCGGAAAACACAGGACTCACAGAGCTGAACATGAGCTGGAATTGCCTTCGAGGCCCAGGAGCGGTGGTCTTTGCCAAGGGACTGGAGGTACGAAGTGCTCCACTCAAGCAGCCCCTCATCCTGTACACTGTGAGGCAGGATCTCCCTGGCGCCCACTCTCTGTCTTTGTAGTTATTCATAACTGATACTTGGGTCTTTTAGGCGGATTTTAAAATATGTTTCTGTCGATGACCTCATTTTCCAGTCAGCGATTTCCTCTCCTGTCACAGCACTGCATGTCACATTCTTCCCTAGACATGACAGACAGTCAATTGGCCAGAGACATGTATGATCTCTAGAGACATGTTCTGATGCTTCCTGGAGATAGCCCTGCTTTGTCACCACAGAGAAAATGCCGCTGGTGGGTGGCTATCCAAAAGAGCAATGTATCTTCTCAGAGCTGAAGAGGTGAGCTGTCAGAATTCAGGGTGGGGCTCTCAAGGGAGACCCCCCTTTGTGTTTCAGTTTTCTGTCAACTCCAAACCAAAGTCTATTGGCACAGAGCCCATTCCAATTCGCGGAGACCCAATAGGACAGGGTAGCAACGCTCCCTTGAGTTTTCAAGGCTGTTGATCTTGAAGGGACTCGATTGTTTTCTTATTCTTCCTCGGTAGATTTGAACACTTGATCTTTTGGAAAGCAGTCCCATGTTAAATACACTGTGCTACCTGAGTTCCCTATCTTAGCTTCCGGTGGTCCATAGCCTTGGGTTTGTCAATGTAGCTACTGTGTGTGTGTGTCTGTCTGTTTGTCTTCCCATAGTCTCTCCTCACCCCACCCCAGTCTAGTCTACTCTTTTGTTAATAACTCAGAAGTGATTAGGGTCAGGATCCACCCTACTCTGGTTACATTGACATAACAGGGGAAGCCCTTATTTCCAAACAGGATAATAACCACGGGTCAAGGAGTTACCCTAAACCCTTGGGTCCTAGAACATACTCTTAAACATCTCATTGGCACCACTGGATGTTGAAGGTTTTAGGTCTCCAGAATGAGCGGTTGAAGCTCCTCTTTGGGTGGCACCAGGTGCCTGAAATGGCCAGAGGCCAGTTCCCTTTTGGGGTCCACCTCCTGAAGGGATTGGCCTGGAGTTGGCTACCAACCACTCCTGCCTCTCTCTCATCACAGTCCACTGGGAAGATTTGGTCTCTGCCCTCAAGCGGTTCCCCACTGGGGTTGGTACCTGATTATTGCTGCATCCTGGCCAACCCCTGGCTCCAGAAGACCTCTCCTGAACCCTGCGCTGTTCAGTACACACACTCTGACCTCTTGTTGGTTCTGCCAGTCATCATCATTACCATAGCGAGTGTCAGTCTGGGTTCACTAGAGAAGCAAATTCACAGAGACACTCAGATGTGTATAAGAAAGAGTTTTGTATACAAGAGCAATTGAATAGTGAGAAAACATCCCAGCCCAGTCCAGATAAGTCCCTAAGTTTGATATTAGCCCATATGTTTGATACCAATCTATAAATTGCTCTTCAGACTCACGAAACACATGCAATGACACCAAAGGCAGGAAGATCACAGGCCCGTGGGTGGAGAGTTTTGTGGCTCCAGTGACAGTGGAAGCATCTCAGTGCTGGCAGGGGTCTCCACGTGGCTCCTTCTGCTCCCGGGCTCTCCAGATGTTCCATGTGTCTTGTCCACTGGAGTGAGAGTGTGTCCCGCTTCCAGCGAGCTATTTATCTCTTTAGTGCCTCCAACTGAGGTCATCAAGCTGCGACCTGATTGACAGGTTGAACTCCACCCCATCACTCTTAAGTCTCAAATTGACAACAGATGATGTAACTACCACAGCTAGTCAGGGAAATATTAACGGGAGTTGATTGCCTCATCTTTCTGTTGAGGCTGTTGGGGTCAAACCACACAGCACTTTCCCAATAACCTCTGCCCTTTTCCTCTTGGGCTTCTGAGGTCCCAAGATGATGACCTCCTGGAGCTCTCCACTCTCCATTGGGGCACCAGTGACCTTGCTCTTTTGTGTTGTAGGCAAACATCTTCCTGAAAGTTCTGGATGTCTCATACAATGGCTTTGGGGACCCTGGAGCCTCAGCAGTGGGTGAGGCCCTCAAAGTCAACAACGTGCTGGAGGAACTCAATATGAGGTGAGGGGCACAGGGCCCCATAGGGTCACAGCCTCCAGGTCCACAGACATCCTGGGGCTCAGCCATCTGGTCAGCACTTTGATTTCTGACTGAACCAACCAGTTTATGAAGCACGGACCTTGGTTACCTGGTGAGGCTATAACAGAAACACCACAAGCCTGTGGCCTTAGTGAACAGAATTGATTGTCTGATTGTTCTGGTGGGTTAGAGTCCAAATCAGGATCTTAGCCATGTCTAGTCTTTCCATATAGGTTGTCCTGGTCCTTCGTTGATTGATCTATGCTCCACGTGTGGGTATTTTTGTGTCAATTCTCTTCTTTTCCTAATTCCGAAGCGATCAGATTTAGAACCCACTCTATTCAGGTATGACCTGTTGTTGTCAGGTGATGCTGAGTCGATTCTGACTCATGGAAAGTCCGTGGACAACAAAGAAGACACCACCTGGCTCTGTGCCAGTCTCACAATCACTGTTAGGTTTGAGCCCATTGTTGCAGCCGCTGTATCAATCCATCTTGTTGAGGCTCTTCCTTGCTGACCCTTGACTTTGCCCCATCCAGGGACGGGGGCTCTCCAGATAACATGTCCAAAGGACATGAGATAAAGGTCTCGACAGCCATGCCTTCTAGGAACATTCGGGATATATCAGCCCAAGACAGATTGGTTCATTCTCTTCTGCAGTCCATGAGATAGTCAATAGTGTTTGCCAACACCGTAATTCAAAGGCGTTGATACCAAGGGCTCAAGTAGAAAGAAAACGTTTTGAGAATGGTGAGGGCAACAAATGTACCAATGTGCTTGACACACTGGATGGATGTGTGGATTGTGATGAGTTGTACAAGCCCCCAATAAAATGATTTTTAAAAAGAAACCAAAAGAGACCTTCACAAGTGGAAAAATATCCCATGCTCATGGGTCAGTAGACTCAGCTTTACAATATTGTAAAGATGTCAATCCTACCTAAGGCACTATATAGGTTCAAGGCAATCTGATACAAATAAAAGCATCATTTTTTCCAATAAATGGGAAAACAACAACAACAACAAAGACATCGCTGCTTCTTCAGTCTTCCTTATGCATTACCCAGCTTTCATACGCACCTAGCTTGGTGTGGTAGTGATATCATCATGGGTCAATTTGAGGATTAAGAGTGTAGGGGTGGAGTTTGGCCTGTCAATCAGATCGTAGCCAATGAGGCCTCTGTGTGGCATGGCCTTTTCCTGAGAATTCTGGGAAATCCTGTATTTCTTCCTTGGAGAGGGAGACACTTCTCTCTCTGTGGGACTCCCTGGGAGACATTGCAGCTGACAAGACACATGGAACTACGCTAGTGCCCTGAGCTGGAGAAGCCACATGGACCTGTCCTGATGCAACCAGACCTCTGAAGGTGGAGAAGCCATGTAGAGACCCCTGCCGGTGCTGAAATGCTTACAACACCACTGGATCCAAAGACTTTGTACCCAACTGGCCTGTGATCGTCCTGCATTCGGCATCCTTGCATGTGTTTCGTGAGTCTGCAGAGGACTTTATAGATTGGTATCAGACATATGGGCTTGGGCTGGACTGGGTTGGGATGCTTTCTTTCTTTTTTTTCTAATCATTTTATTAGGGGCTCATACAACTCTTATCACCATACATACATACATCAATTGTGTAAAGTGCATTTGTCCATTCATTGCCCTCATCATTCTCAAAACATTTTCTCTCCACTTAAGCCCCCGGCATTAGGTCTTCATTTTTCCCCTCCCTCCCTGCTCCC